TGCAACCTCTGCCTCCCGGATTCCAGCAATTCTTCCTGCCTCAGCCTCCCAACTAGCTAAGATTACAGGCATGCGCCACCACACCTGGCTAATTTTATGTTTTTAGTAGAGATGGGGTTTCACCATATTGGGCAAGGTGGTCTCGAACTCCTGACCTCAAGTGATTCCACCCACCTTGGCCTTCCAAACTGCTGGGATTACAGCTGTGAGCAACTGAGCCTGGCTTCATTTCACAAATTTTTAAGATAAAGATGTGCCCCTGTTGCTGGCTTATAACAGATATTCAGTATATATACACTTAGGGAAGGTAGGAAAGGGAAGACAAAAGCAAGCTAGCAGTGGTTCCTCTAACTCTTGTTATTTTCTGTCTTTAATCATTTGTTGACATTTAAAACTCACCGAGTGATCTTATACAAGGCTCCTCGTTCTTAGTGCCTCGGCATCCCATTTTAAAGCAGGAGAAATAACACAGTGGTGGCTGCCGCAGAGTGTTGCTGAAAGGAAGGAATGAGATCATGAGTGTGAATTTGTGACTAGAGAATTTTACAAATACCGTCCTAATGATTCACATGAATTGGAGTGTTTGTCTGTTATGGAAGGGGTGTGTGTGTGTCTCTCTCTGTGTACCTAAGTTTGTTTTAAACAGGATAAACTTGAATAGCTACAGATCTTCCCTACAGGGCCGGTGCTCTTGGAGTTGTGTAATTATGTTTGAACTACGCAAAATGATACAAACTAGAGAACAGAAACCCTCCCAAAAACTGAGAGCTTGCATCTGATGTTGATAGACTCCATGTCTTTTTCTTAGAGAATGAATCATGGCCCCAAGCTGCCTCTGTGTGCCCCAGTATCCCTACTGAATGTCACCCTGCCAGTGCCTTCAGCTGTGTACCTCTCATGGCGGGACACGATTAATCCTCCAGATTCCAGCAGCCAACTTTCCTCTAGGAAATTTACTCCCTTACTGTGGCTTTGTGCACAGTGAAAAACCTAAGCGACGAAGCAGAATGGCTGGCTTTGTGAGCAGAGGCGGTGGCAGAAGCCTGGCACAGTGTCCAGATGCCACACACAGGCAGCAGGCTTATGAGTTACTTATTGGCCCCCACATAGTATGTTGCATCTGAGGTGACACTTCATAAATGCTACCTCATTTATCTTCCCGATGCCCTTTAGAGGCAGGGAATCCCATAAAGTCTACCCAGGAAGAATCTATGGTTCTTAAGCAGCCTTCCCTCCAGCTGCTTCCTGGGCAGCAAGGAGGAGCCCGTTGAGAGGTTTCATGTTTTGTCTTATTCTGTAACTTCAGCTTTAAGGACTACGTCCTGTGTTTACCACCATCATGACTCATTCCACAGACATTTAGTGTTCCCTGTGCTAGGCACCGGGAGACCAACTTCAAAGCCAGCACCCAGGCCATTAAGCAGCACTGAGAGAGCTGGAGATCAGGGAGAAAGGACACGCAACTCGGGAGGGACAGAAGACTTCCTGGAGGATGTGTGGCTGGAACCACCTCAGGAAGGATGAGGAGGAGTCAGCAAGGGGAGGAAGAGAAAGAAGGGAGGCAGAGGAGGACCTGACAGGGGAAGGATGGGAGCTGGGCAGGAAAGTGAGGCCCTTAGGAGTCAGAGGTCATATCACAAGGACCTTCTTCATCTGTCGTGTTGAGGAGTTTGGACTTGATCCTCAAGTTGAAAGAGATTTTGCAAGATGTAGGTGGCAAGGCTTTTACCTGCTCCTTTGCCACCTTTTCTCCCTCTCTCCCCAACACCAAAAAAACCCCAAAAGAACCCAAAATACATAACCACTTTTTTTTCTAGTTCAGTTGTTTAAAAGACCTGACATTCTGTAATTTTTGATACATAGATGAAAGAATGAACAATTTCTCTTTAGACTCTCTTGGTATGAATGACCACATAGCGTATAACCGGGTAGATGATTTCACATTCTCCAGCAGTGGAGCAGAAAAGGCCATTTAATCAAGACAGAACAAAAAAATTCCCACTTTCCCGAGAGAGGGCCTGGGCCGTGAGACTTTCTTTCCTTGCCATTCTGTTTTCCAGAGAAGAGTGGGGCTCCAACCCTGCTGTGTTTCATTGTCCCAGCTTTGGGGCACTTCATAAATCAGAGACAATTGGTCTTCCTTGATAAAATGGAATGGTTGTAACTGAAACAATTGTAAAACGAAAGATGGGTTTGGGGGACTGTTTGGAGAGGGAACAAATAACGGGTCCACGTTGCTGGAGCTGCGCATTCCACATGCTTGTTTATAATTCAGAGGCAGGGCTTTGGGGCGATCAGGTAATTCACAGTAAAGATCAGACAAAATGTACGCAGTGTGTAGGATATGAAGGGAGGGGAAAGGCCCATTGCTTTGACAGCAGTTCTGCTTGCTTCTGCACCACAAGGCAGAGCACTCTGCATGAGCACTTCCCCAGCCCTTCTTAACAGACCTTCTCCCACTGCGTAGGGACTCATCCTGAAGTGAGTGTGAGCCAGGGCCCTCTCCACTTCTCAGGGCATTTCTGTTTTGTATGTCAAGCACTTACTAAGACAACTAATGAAACTCTCCCACCAAGATTTTCTGGATATTTCAGAAATTATTTGGATTTTCTAACCTGGTGAGAGCACAGTGTCAGATGTTTGTCTTCTATTGTGGATTGTCAGTGGGCACTGGACCTAGAATCAACCAGCTGTTCCAAGGAGTTGAGGTGGGCAGTGCATAGAGGACAATCACTTTTTAATGGTAGGAAAATTGGGAATAAGTGTGTATGGTTTTTTTTGTTTGTTTGTTTGTTTTTTGTTTTTTGAGATGGAATCTTTCTCTATAGCCCAGGCTAGAGTGCAGTAGCGTGATCTGGGCTCACTGCAGCCTCTGCTTCTTGGGTCCAGGTTAACCAATTCTCCAGCACGACCATGCCCAGCTAACTGTTGTATTTTTAGTAGAGATGAAGTTTCTCCATGTTGGCCAAGCTGGTCTTGAACTCCTGACCTCATGATCCACCCACCTCAGTCTCCCAAAGTACTGGGATTACAGGTATGAGCCACTGTCTCCAGCATATGTATAATTTATTATATCCCAATCCCACCCCCAAAGCTGACTCCTCCAAATTACTGAGCCATCACTCAGATTCAGAAGTTCGGCTGCAACTTAAAGCAGATCTGAGTTTTTCTTGTCAGTGCCCCATATTTTGAATATGAATGTTGTCTGTCATATGAGTTTCTATCCAGTACCCTGCCTCACTTCTGGCAGAAATAAAATCTGAAGAGGTGGCTTCTATTTGAAAATGTTTAGATAGTGTAAGAGGAAGAGCATCACAACTTAGGACATCTAAAAAAACATGTCCTGACAAACCAAGGCTTTTTATATCAAAAGCCAGACTTCTTATTCACTAGAGGATTCCCTACTGATTTCATTTTGAAAGGAGCCCTTCAGTCTTTGGGCTGTTTTACAGATGGTATGGGGCCAGCCTCACATCCAGACAGTTGAGACTGTGACCTAGGGGGGATTTCAGGCAGACTGAGGCTGACCCCAATGCTCCTGCCCACCTAACTCTTCTAACCCATCCCTACCTAAAATCCCACCTTTGCAGCCTCAGCCCATAGTTTAAGGCTTTGATGATGAAGTTGTAGGATGCAGACATCCGCCAACAAGGGGGAAACAGCACAGATTAAAGAGATAGAAGACGACTGGATGCCGTAGCTTATAGCTGTAATCCTAGCACTTTAGAAGGCTGAAGCAGGAGGACTGCTTGAGGCCAGGAGTTTGACACCAGCCTGGACAACATAGATCCATCTCTACAAATATTAGCCATGCATGGCACACATGTAGTCAAGGCCAATTGAGAGGCTAAGGCAGGAGGATCGCTTGAGCCCAGGAGACTGAGGCTTCAGTGAGCTATGATCACACGACTGTACTCTAGCCTGAGCGACAGAGCAAGACCCTGTCTGAAAAAAATGCTAAAAAAATTTTTTTAGCCGGGCGCGGTGGCTCAAGCCTGTAATCCCAGCACTTTGGGAGGCCGAGGCGGGTGGATCACGAGGTCAAGGGATTGAGACCATACTGGTCAACATGGTGAAACCCCGTCTCTACTAAAAATACAAAAAAAATTAGCTGGGCATGGTGGCACGTGCCTGTAATCCCAGCTACTCAGGAGGCTGAGGCAGGAGAATTGCCTGAACCCAGGAGGCGGAGGTTGCGGTGAGCCGAGATCGTGCCATTGCACTCCAGCCTGGGTAACAAGAGCGAAACTCCATCTCCAAATAAAAAAAAAGAAAAAAAGAAAAAAAAAATTTTTTTAATATATGGAGGTGACCAGGTGTAGTGACTCAACGCCTGTAATCCCAGCACTTCAGGAAGCTGAGGCGGGCGGATCACTTGATGTCGGGAGTTCGAGATTAGCCTGACCAACATGGAGAAATCTCATCTCTACTAAAAATACAAAATTAACCAGCCATGGTGGCACATGCCTGTAATCCCAGCTACTGGGGAGGCTGAGGCAGGAGAATCACTTGAACCCAGGAGGTGGAGGTTGCAGTGTGCCAAGATCATGCCATTGCATTCCAGCCTGGGCAACAAGAGCAAAACTCTGCCTCAAAAAAAAAAAAAAGAAAAAAAAAGAAGAAAGAAAAAGAAAGCACTTAATCCCGCATTTTATATAAAGGGAAACTGAGACCCAGAGTGGGGAAGGCTATTGCCCAAGGATACTCAGGCTGTCGGCAGCAGTGGGTGTGAGACCTGGTTTCCTGATGCCCAGAGAGAAAAGTGCCTTTCAGAGACAACAGGCACAATTAACAATTTTTAGGGAACCAAATCACTTTTGAAATATGAAAACTGAAATGGCTGAAAAAAGAGAGAACATTTTCAAAATGGCTTTCTGACTCTGGGTAAACAGTAACCACATTTTTTTTGCCTGTTGGAGGCCTGGTTTTTAATCACTCCACAAGCAGTTTTCATTTCTGTAGTAAAATTGCTTGTGGTTCTATTTAATTTGTTTCTGCAGGAGCCAGCTTTGGTGAAGATCTCCGAGGAGCTGGCGGGCATTTTAGCACAGCACGCACAGCCAGTCAATGAGAAACGGTTCCCGACGTGGAGGAAATTCCTCCAAACATTTCTCAGTCAAGGTAAATAAGACTGCAAAGTTTCTATTGAGGATTAGTCTACACAACCTTGGATTCTAGTTTTGGGTCAACTGGGGCCAATTTAAATACTTTGCATCTCCTGTGTTGGTTTAGTAAAGAGCTCCTACAGTTTTCTTTTTTAAATGTTGCCTAAATATTTATCTTACACCCAGCCTCTTAAGTAAATAGGAACCTAGCATGCCAAGCATGGCATGTGGAGTTCCAGATCTCAGGCCTTTTTTTACACCACAAACTCCTCCCGAGAGATGGGCTTTGGAATCAGATTACCTGGGTCTGGACCCCGTCTATGAGCTTGAGCAAGGTTCTTAAACCCGTCAAGGCCCGGTTTCCTCACTTGCCTACCTTGCAGGGTCATTGGGTGGACTCAATGAAATTCGGATATGAAAGTTTCTACCACAGAACCTGACACAAAATCATCTTTAATAAGTGTTAGTTTCAGGGCCTGGCATAGTGGCTCACGCCTGTAATCCCAGCACTTTGGGAGGCTGAGGTGGGCAGATCACAGTTTCAGGAGATCGAGACCATCCTGGTCAATATGGTGAAACCCCGTCTCTACTAAAAATACAAAACTTATCTGGGCATGGTGGCGCATGCTTCTACTTGGGAGGCTGTGGCAGAAGAATTGCTTGAACCCGGGAGTTGGAGGTTGCAGCGAGCCAATATCGCAACACTGCATCTCAAAAAAAAATAATAATAATGGTTTTTAGGGGGTCAAATCGCTTTTGAAATATGAAAACTGAAATGGCTGAAAACATTCAGCCTGGTGACAGAGTGAGACTCCATCTCAAAAAATATATAAAGTGTTAGTTTCTCCTTCTGTTTTCTAGGAGAGCAGAAATGTCTCAGTTCCAATTCTGAATACAGCATTTTCAAACAAGGGTTCGCTACAGTCCAGGAACAAAGCAAGCCTGCATGCCTTTCCTCCTCCTCCTGCTCCTCCTCTTTCATCTTCGTTTCCTAACAGCATTGGGTGGTCCATGAATGAGGGAATGAATGGTGAATGATGCCTACCTGCAGTCTCAGAGGTCCCTGTGGGGGTGCTACACAGGGGCACACCCATGCCACAGCCCTCACTCTCTAGGAGGTCACAGTGCAAGACAGCTATTATATTCCTACCCAAATGCACCAGAAGAGAGGGTTAGTGTAACAGACCGCAGAAGGCATCTTTCCACTACTGTCAAGTGATAATAATAGCAGCATTAATCAATAATGGTAAGATAATGTCATGTCAGATGATAACAGCAGTAGCAACAGCACAGTGATGATAATAGCACAATGATGATAAAATAGTGAGTTTAGATAGTGCTTAGGATGTGCCAGGCACTCTTCTAAGTATATTAACTTATTGAAGCTTCCTAACAATCCTGTGAGGTGGGCACTATTATCACCCTCATTTTATAGAGGTAGAAACAGAAGTACAAAAGATTAACCCCAAATCACTCTGCTAACACATAGAAGAGCCTGCTAAAAGCTACCTCTGTGCTGCTCCAGGAGTTTTGAGCAGAGCCAGTAGGTACATTTATCAGGGCATATCTTAGCTCAGTGTATGAGAGAAGATTAGAAAGGACAGATCTGTTGGTTGTTGGGATACACTGGCTGGGCAGGGTGTACTGGACACCCTGTTAATGAATTATTTAAGCAGATGGCAGTCGTCTAACAAGATTGCTGAAAAGAGAATCTTTGCGGAGGACAGTTGTGCTAGACAGCTTCCAATGTCCTTTCAACTCTAAAATTTTGTGATTCTATAAATTTCCACGTGTACCCACTGACAGACAAGTCAAAGTAAAGAAAGTCAACCCCATGCATAAATGGAAGAAAATCAAGTAGCTACCACACACAAAAAAAGAACAATAATAAGGTGTTTTTGTCTTTGTTTTTTTTTGTGTGATGGAGTTTTGGTCTTGTTGTCCAGGTTGGTGCGATGTTGGCTCACTGCAACCTCCGCCTCCTGGGTTCAAGCGATTCTCCTGCCTCAGCCTCCTGAGTACCTGAGATTACAGACATGCCACCATGCTCAGCTAATTTTTGTATTTTTAATAGAGATGGGGTTTCCCCATGTTGGCCAGGCTGGTCTCGAACTCCTGACCTCGTGATCTGCCCACCTCAGCCTCCCAAAATGCTGGATGTACATGCGTGAGCCACCATGCCCAGCCTAATAAGGTTTCTTATAAAGTTATGTGGGGAAGGCTGGGCATGGTGGCTTAAGCTTGTAATCCCAGCACTTTGGGAGGCAGGGGCGGGCGGATCACAAGGTCAGGAGTTTGAGACCAGCCTGGCCAACATGGTGAAACCCCGTCTCTACTAAAAATACAAAAATTAGCCAGGCATGGCGGCACGCACCTGTTAACGCCTGTAATCCCATCTACTCAAGAGGCTGAGACAAGAGAATCGCTTGTACCCGGGAGGCAGAGGTTGCAGTGAGCTGACATTGTGCCACTGTGCCCCAGCCTGGGAGACAGAGCAAGACTCCTTCTTGGGGAGAAAAAAAAAAAAAGTTATACGGGGAAGACCATGATGATCTCCAGGCCCGTCCAGGTTAGGGTATTAAGAAGTTTCCAGATCTTCCAGCATCAGCCTGCGAAAGCCTTCCCCCAAACTATTTATTTTCATGAGAGCTGTGTAGATGAGAAAGGCTTTCCCAGCAACTATCTCATCTGAGCTAATATAACCACAGCTAAGCCTTCACCTTTACCTCCTGTCCATATTTATCCTGTTTTCTCAGCCATGCTTATTTATGGAGCGCTGTATAAGCTTTATTAACTCAATTTTCTTCATGAAGAGACTGTAGGTCAGAGATGGGAGGGACTTGGGCAACAGAACCAATAATTGGTAAATGGAACACAAAGTTAGATCCTACAGTTTTAGCACATTTTAATAGCTGGTTCTTGAAAGTCATGTGTTTTCAAAGCTTCTGTCTTTCTCTCAACCCAGTGCAGACAGCAGGCCCTGCATCAGTGGTGCCTGACTGCGCCACGTTGTTCCCCAGGTGTCCCGACTCTAAGGTCAGCATCTCCCTCCCTCCAGCTTCCACCATTGCCTGTTTCATTCCATTTATAGTCTCTCCAATGTGCTTATGGCCACAAAATGTGCTACGGATTTGATTTCTAAACTGTCATAGGTTTATATCAAAAGCAGTACTTTTAAATTTTAATTTTAATCTTTTGAGATAGGATCTCACTCTTGTCTTACCAGACCAGAATGCGGTGGCACAATTATAGCTCACTGCAGCCTCTGCCTCCCAATCTCAAGCAATACTCCCATCTCAGCCTCCTGGGTAGCTGGTACTACAGGCACACACCACCACGCCCAGCTAATTTATTGTTTAAAATGTTTTTGTAGCGACAGGGTCTCACTTTGTGGCAATACCATTTTCAGAAGAGGAATTAATTGCTTTGAGTGGAAAAAAATAACAATGAAAAGGTTATGGTCGTGATGCTGAGAAGATAGTATAAATAAACTTCTTTGAAATAAAGTACCCAAGTAATCTCGTAAATTACAGATGATAGTCTGTTTCCACTGAAGCACTATCTTTCAAAACATAGGTGACAGCTAAGCCACAAAGTTAACTAAGACATAGAGACTCACTAGGTTTTTTGCTTTTGTAGATTTTTGTCATTGTTATTTTGTTGCATTTACCTTGCTAAATCCCCCAGTGACTGGTATTTAGGTAGAGCATGCAAGAATAGGCCTCATTTGAAGAAAAGAATGTCTCCAGCCAACCAAATAGAAAAATTAGGGGTTGAATATGTACCCTCCAAAATCAGTTTTCCTTCTGAAACTTGGTGTTCATTAGGACTATCTCTTACCAAATTGTTAGACATTTAAGGAAAGTGTTTTTTGTTTGAAGTAACAGATGACTGTGTTTGAGAACTGCTCATTTTTTTTCTTTGTATGCTGTTCAAAGTCTGTGGCTTACAACTATAGGCAGAGGTCACACTTATGCCAGCACATTTGTGAAATACGAATTTCCCAGCCCCCAGCACATTTGTGAAATACAGGCCAAGTTTCTCTTAATGCTGTCGGGTTCTAGATGGCACCTGTCTATGCAACACTTTGTTTTTACCTTTAAGTTATCCAACTCTTTACAAATAATATCTTAAATTTTTTCTCTACAAAGAGGACATATACAGTAAGATTTGTAAGTTGGGCCTAAAAACAGAAGATTGGGGCTACGTGATGTTCGTAAACACGACTGAGATAGCCCACAAATTAGGCAGAAAAATGTTGTTGCTGTGGTTGAACGTTGGACTTGCCTCTATGATTTTGGCCATTCAAAGCAACAGATAAAATGTAATAAATTATAAAGCTCCCATTACCAGCAGAGAGAGCATACGTGTTCTTCAAACACAGCAATATCTCTTGGTTCTGTATTTTAAAAACGTTTCATAACTAGCTTTATATATGAGTCCTTTGGCTGACGTGATGGTCAATATTCTCTCTTCCTGCAAAAAGCCCAAACCTGTGAAACCTTCAAAAAGCAGTGAAGTTTACCAAAAAGAGCACATTGGTCATCAAGATGCCAACTGTGGACTCTGGGCAATTAATTCTCCATGAGGGATTTGACTGTAATTCTTGCATTCACTGTTGAATGAATTTTTGGGCATAGACACAGTGATCTTCACGGTGTCTTCAAATTATAATCAGAGTCAAAACTCCCATTCATTGAGCCCTACAATATGCCAAGGGTTGGGCTAAATACTACAGATACATAGAGTATCTCTCAGATTCACAAGGATCTAATGAGGTAGGCTTTATTATACCCATTATTACAGACAAAGAAAAATAAGTTCAGAGAATGTAAGCTGCTTGCCCAAAGTCTCCCAAGACATGGCAGATGCAGAATCTGAGCCCAAGTCAACCAAAGCCTAGGTGCTTCCTTCCTGCTCCAAATAGGCACAGTCCCTGTGAATGTGTCCTTTTACCTACTCCATGTTTTTCCCACCAGGGGGTGTGATCGAAGCGTTCCCACCTACAGATAGTGTCACCAACCTGACAGTGGACATGTTGATAGAGCCCAATGGGAAAATCAGCGTGCTGTCAACAGGGGACCAGCTTCATGCCGAAAGCCCCTTCATCTCCTCGGGTACCACCATGCCTCAGACCTCAGTGGATCCCCAAGTTCTCATGTATTTGTGCCTCCAAATTGGAAAAGCCTGCAAAATGAAAGATGTGGTTGGTTACTTTTCTATAGATCTGGTGACTTTTATTGACCCAAGCACCTTGCAACAGCAGGTAAGTTGAATGGATGCCACATGAAATGCTAAAATATGTAATGACTCTGTACCCTGCATACCAGTGCAACAGGGAATATGAGGGCTCTTCTAAAATTCACTGATTCTCTGATGAACTAGCTCTAAATCCAACACCTACATGGCCCATGCAAATCCAAGTGAGACTGGGCTTTGTGTTTGGAAATACAGGGCCAGAGTTGTCTCATTCAGAGACAGTTGGAGTTAAAGAATAACTGAGGCTGTGTGCAATGGCTCATACCGGTAATCCCAGCACTTTGGGAGGCTGAGGCAGGCAGATCATTTGAGCTCAGGAGTTTGAGACCAGCCTAGGCAACATGGCAAAACCCTGTCTCTACTAAAAATACAAAAATTAGCTGGGTGTGGTGGGAGGCACCTGTAATTCCAGCTACTTGGGAGGCTGAGGCAGGAGAATCACTTGAACCCAGGAGGAGGCAGAGGTTGCAGTGAACCGAGATCACACTACTACACTCCAGCCTGGGTGAAAGAGTGAAATTCCATCTCAAAAAAAAAAAAAAAAAAAAAGAGTGACTGAAACTTATCCCTCACAGTTCACAGCTCTGTTGATTAGGCCCTCAGTTCTGCCCATTAGTTTTATGCCTATGTATCATGAAACTATTTTATGCCATCCAGGGAGTGAACCTGTCTAGAGCCTGTTTTAAATAGAAAATCAGTCACTAGAAAGGAGTTAAGAGTTCACATTTATGTTCCTTTTCTTACCAGTTTTTCACCCACAGCTTAGATTGTCTCATTTTTTTTTCTTTAGAAAACGTATCAAGAGATACTTCAGAAATATCAAATGGTCTAAATAATAATATAATCAATATCATGGGCCCCTGCCCAGCTTAAGAAACAAAGTGTGGTCAATGCCACCTGCAATCCTGTGTGCTCCTTGCCAAACATATGGCTCTTCTTCCTCCCAGAGGCCAGGAGGAATCTACCGTCTTATACTTGGGGTTTTGATTCCCTTTCATGTCTCTATACTTTCCACCGTACATGGATACACCTGAAAATAATGTAGAGTTTTATTTTGCATGTTTTTAAGCATTTTGTAGCTTATGACATTCTATCTATTATTATTTTACTGTATGCTTTTATTTATTTAATATTCCATTTGTGAGATTCTTCATGTGCATAGGTATGGTGCTGAGATATAATATTTAGGATAAATGATCTTTAACCTTTTTTACTTTGCTTTACCCCCCTGAAAGTATAATGTTCAACTTCACTACGATTTCGCTACTCAGGAGGCTGAAGTGGGAGGATCACTTGATCCCAGCTCACTGTAGCCTCAACCTCCCACCTCAGCTGCCATGAGCTGGGATCGCATCACTGCACTCCAGTCTGGGTGACAGAGAGAGAACCTATGTCATTTAAAACTTGCATTTAAAAATGTTCAGTTGCTCCTCTCTTAGTGCTGCGTGTCCAGACCTCTGTCTAAAAGGCGAAGTGACCTCCTGGCCTGCCTCTCTCAATAGCCTCTAGTCATCAGCATTGGAAATGGACTTTAGTTGTTTTAGGATCGTTATTTTCAGTTTTACAGTTCTCCCTTTCAGTCAGATGATGGTTTCAGAGTGAGAGTTTATGTTTTTTGGCAGTTTTCAGCTTGTTCAATAATCATTTTCCATTTGCCTTCCTGGACCCTCCATTGGTTTTACATTCTGTTCTAAGGCCTGTATATTGAGAGAGAAAAGGACAAACTGAAGGTCATTTGGAAATCTCCCTGTGGTGGAGGCAGGAGAGAAACAACGCCCCCTGGGGAAATCTGAATGCCGGGGATGCAGGGGGAGGAGAGCCAGGGGAGGCTGCCCTCCCCAGATATTTGTCATAAGAAAGAAAGGTTGGCTGGGCATGGTGGCTCATGCCTTTAATCCCAGCACTTTGGGAGGCCAAGGCAGGCAGATCACTTGACCCCAGGAGTTTGAGACCAGCCTGGACAACCTAATGGGACCCCATGTCTATAAAAAATATAGAAAAATTAGCTGGACATAGTGGCATGCGCCTGTAGTTCCAGCTACTCAGGAGGCTGAAGTGGGAGGATCACTTGATCCCAGCTCACTGTGGCCTCAACCTCCCACCTCAGCTGCAGTGAGCTGGGATCGCATCACCACACTCCAGTCTGGGTGACAGAGAGAGAACCTGTCTCAAAAAAGAAAAAAGGCTGGGCATGGTAGCTCATGCCTGTAATACCAGCACTTTGGGAGGCCTAGACGGATGGATCGCATGAGGTCAGGAGTTCAAGATGAGCCTGGCCAACGTAGTGAAACCCCATCTCTACTAAAATACAAAGAAAAATTTAGCCGGCTGTGATGGCAGTTGCCTGTGATCCCAGCTGCTCGGGAGGCTGAGGCAATAGAATTGCTTGAATCCAGGAGGCAGAAGTTGCAGTGAGCCAAGATCATGCCACTGCACTCCAGCCTGGGTGACAGAGCAAGACTCCATCTCGAAAAGAGAAAGAAAGAAAGAAGGAGAAGGGCTAAACCTGTGGTTCCTGAGACAATAGGAAGGACGGAACTATGGGGACAGTTGACTTGTGGTTTTTATTTGAGTTTGGTATGAGGAAACTTGCACACAGCAGTCAAAAGGATGTTCTCCAAACAAAATGCCAGTCCTTCCTTGGGCTTATCACCCTTCCAGGCTTCTGGCAGAAAGGTCCCACCCTTGACTTTGCTGGTTCCTGGCCAATCTTGTCTCACCCTAACTCTCCCTCTATTTTGGTCTGGTCCATCCACACAGCCTGTCTCATTCCCACTTACTTATCATACGCCCTCTGCCATGAGGACTTGACACGTGCAGTTCCTCCACCTTAAATGCTCTTGCCTTTTCTTTTGACCTGCTTAGCCACCTTCCCAGCCATCATATTTCAGCTCAAGCCATATTCACTGAAGCCCTTCCTGACCTTCCTAAGTCAAATACCCCTTTTTTAGATTTTCGTATCATTGTGTAGCTCTTCCTCATACCACTTATCTCAGTTACAACTTTAAACTTATTTGCATGACAGTTTGATTCATATTTGTCTCCTCCTACCGATTATAAGCTCTTTTAAGTACTGTTTCTTTTTGCTCCCTTACTGTATTCTCAGCATTTACATCTGCCCTGGCACAAAGTGGGTATTCAGTAAGTATTTGTTGAATGAATGAATGAGCAATGGAGGAGTTCTAGCAGATGCTGGATGGTGTTTCTAAGGCTTTTGAAGAAGGAACTCAGATCGTCATTGGATGAATGGGATAGATAGATATTAGATTCTCTGATTTTGTCATACTATGAATTCCCCTTGTCCCTTCCCATAAATACTTCAGTATGTGATTATTTGTGTTACAGTTATTGACAGAATATTGGAAGAAATTCTCAGTGACCACAACAAATGGTGTTTCTACATTAGCAAAAGAAGTATGTTTGTTCTCTGTATATAATAGATTATTTGCAAATCACTGGCATATTTTCTAGCCATTTTGCAAGTGGTATCACTTCAGAAAAGACCTTTATTTTTTTTCTAATTGGCATGCCTTGTAATGCCAGTGAAGCAACTGACAGGCATATTATCAAGCTCTCATTTTTTGTTAGTCTTAACAGGTTAAAATAAATTTTGTTTTATTCAGCATTTCTTTGATTATTAGTGAAGATCCACACCTCTTCATATGTTTGTTTGCCCACTTACATATCTTTTCTTAACTGCCTAATCATATCTTTTGTGCCATTTAAATTAGACTGTAATACAAATGTTAATTTGCTGGAGCTCTTTGCATACTGGAAACGGTTACTCTTTGTTCTACATCTTGTAAGTACCTTCTCTCGGATTGTCATTTGTGGCTTTCTCCTCTCTCTTTTTATTTTTGGCCGTGTTTCTTCACCATAAAAAAATTACTATTTCCTCCTTTGTAATTGATTAGTAATATTTTATAGAAAGGTGTTCCAAGAGTTCCCCAATAGTGTACTGTTTATCAAATTCCACTCAGAACACTTAGCATCTATTGCCAACTTTTTCCTGAATCCACTACCACTATGATAGTAGTAATTTTCTAATTCTGTGGAAAATTTTCTGGTAAATTTTTGTGTAGAAATTTCTGGCAATCTACTGCAGGAAGCTATTTTCCATCTCCACCTTTCATTTATGTCTGTATGTCTGTATGTATTTATGTCAGCATGAACTCATAAGTTTCTATTTTATTTAATGGATTGTATTTTGATACTTTGATCATTTCAATGCCCAGTTGTTCCAGATTTGGCCAGTGGGAGACCCTTCAGGGTGTCTCTTGTGTCCTTTTGACATGTTCTCATCATTCTTTGAGCATGTCTTACTTTCTGACATGATAAGATGTTCCAGGCTTATTTTTTATTTTTCTTTCCCCAGACCTAGGATCAACCCAGAAGCCCTGTAAGATCTGGGCTCTTAGTGCTGTCATTGCTTCTAGAGTGTCACTTCTTCTGAGACCTCTTGGTGGACAGAGCTAAGTACATGTATTACATATGTACAATACAGACACAGAATTATACACACATATATGCATAGAAACACACATGTACATATACACACATATATGCATCTATAACTATTTCTGTATCAGTGTTTATATTATAAAACCATGAGTTCCTGCCAGCATCTTCAATTTCAATCCAGCACCTCAGGGTTCTTTCTAGAATCCCCCTTTTGCACACTTAAAAGTAAATGTCTTGATGGACATTCTGCTTACTCTGATTTGGGGTATAATTACAATGTATCCACATTGTATACATGTATCAAAATAGCACATATATGGCCAAAATATATATAACTCTTATATATCAATTTAAAAATATCCCAAAAAAACCCAACCTCAAATCATTATTTTAGCTTACAAATTAAAAAAAAAAAAAAAAAGCTAAATAGAGCTTGGAACATAGTAACTGTGTATATTTACAAAATAAAATCCCAGGCCAGGTATGGTGGCTAATGCCTATAATCCCAGCAGTTTGGAAGGCTAAGGCAGGAGAATTGCTTGAGCT